GCACGGAACGCTCTGGCCGTGCGCTGCACCAGAAAAGAATTTCTGTAGCAAGGCAGAGGGAACAGCAGGCATTTTGTCACCCTGAAAAGGCAAGGCTGTCCTGTTCTGACAGCCACTGCCTGCAGCTATCTCCTCCCTCCCCTTTTAAGTAGCTATGTGCTCGTAACCACAGCGGCAAAAAACATCATTCCTTGTGTTTCTAGCCAGGGTTAGAGGCAGAGGTACAGCCACGCACCTTGTTCTCTCCATCCCGGCTGCCCATCTCCAGCATAGAGCGGGGAGCACCCTGCTGGATGGGACCACCATGAGTAGGTAGGCCCAGTTTCCAAAGGTTTGCTCCTAAATAACTGTGCCATTTACCGCCTCTCTTTGCTGAGGCAGCAGAACATGGGATATACACCTCATACAGAGGCCCAAGCTCGCTTCTGGCATATAATAAATCAAACTGAACAAGCACCAAGACATCAAATTGTAACTGAACCAGCTGAGTAGGGGCACGTTTTTGTACTCCTAACAAACCTCTGTACTGGAAGCAGCCCAACAGACAGAAAATGAAACTCTTAAAACATATCAGAATCAAAATAATGCACACAAGAAAAAAACAAGAATTACGGCTCAACAACCATCCTTCTCTATTGCCATCGCAAAAGAGGTCCAGGATGGCTACAGTAGAATAAGAATCAAATTGCAACAGAAATATGAGGACATATGCTTCACCCTCAAGACTATTTTCTCATTAGTACATAATATTTCAATTCCATTTAAGATCATTGTTTTGTGTTTTTATGGTACCAGATCGTTTGATTAATCTGGAATTAGTCTAAAATAACTTCCTCTGAAATAGTGTTCAATGTAATGCTTTACCTCTTGATTAAAACACAGTTCAGTAAAGAATATGATGCACGGCATCATTGAGCATGCTGTACTAGAAATCTGGTTAAAATAATTAAGGTTTTGTTTTGGGTTTTTTTATTATGTCAGTTTCAGGAAACTTGAAAGGATCACAAAGTCAAAAATTGAAGCATTTCATGAGATTGTTGAGTAGGCCTGCTCTTGTCCACCAAACGCAAAATAAGGCACCTGTCTAGAAACCGTGTTTTATTGTCTGCACAACCCCAGAAAAGTGCTCCTTCCCATTTCCCCCAGCCTGCTCACACTCCATAAGCAAGACAACGTTATTCCACAGGATCTTTCCTCTTCTCTTGTTTTGGATGTTATGCTTTGCTCTTTGAGGAGACACCTTTGCATCAGAGCCTGGATGAATGAACTGTTTCCTGCTGGAAGGGACATGTTACATTTTTGCCCCAAGACTGGGCTGGCAAGGGATGGAGAGAGGAGGCTCCTAAAGCCCATCCTCTGACCCGCTGCTGGAGAACAGTGCTCACCACTCACAGGCAGGAGTCAGGACAAACAAAGGGCTGCTTGTACAGCATCTCCCATCAGCCCTCCCTCTTCTCATCCTCACTAGCTCTAGCTCTCTCTGGGCACATCTAAAAAGATACAGCTGCCAAGAAAGTGGAAGGGAGTGAACCAGAAGATAAAGGTACGTTTTGCTCCTGAAATTATCCTTGTCTACCTGTTCTGCTCCTTCTAGTTACAGAATACAGAATTAGAAATACATATGGGAATACGCAGAACAAGATTTGGGAGAAACTGTTATATTGCAAGCAAGAGGTACCATTCAAGACAGTTGCATGACTGGGATCCTGACCAAAATAATTCTTTTACTTTCTTGCTTTTCTTCGAAGTTGGATACTACATATTAACATCTGAAGTCACTAAATAAACTATATTGCCTTCCAGTGCTCAATATACATATAGAGAGAGGTGTCTTCACAATGAATTGCTGTCTTAAAGAAAACTAAATGGGGTTTAATGAGAACTCAGTTTCTGGAAAGAATCATGGTATTGATGACAATTACAAAGCAGTAATTCACTGAATTCGTCCTCAGTGGAATAGCTGCTGTACTTACAGTGCACCAACTGTTCAAGCAAAATAGATTTAAGAAATTTTTTAAGGGAAAAAATTCTTTACAATATTATGTTATACAGTTCTTGTATAATGACTTTTTAGTAATACATTAATAAACCTAACTATCGAGTACTAACACCTAAATATTGAATAATCAGCATCTCACAGGTGATTGTGAAAGGCAAACTTGACAAATAAATAAACACTAAAATACATTTCATTTTGAATAAGAGAAACAATTTTAATATGTATGTGCTTTTTAAGTGGAACTTGTTAACCTGGCACATGCCACTGGAAAGACTGGAGAAGAAGATTTGCCAAAAGTGTACCATTTATGTATTTCTTGTTTTTGACGTTAGGCAACTAGAAACACAGCCTACTTAAGGGGAAAATAAGGGTATATTTAATGAAGGATTGATATTTTAAATGGTTGATAGACCAACCTACAAATATTTCTATTTTCCCAACCACGCTCTAGAAGTGCCAAAATGCACATTTTGTGCCATTTCTCAGTTTTCTCTATTTCCAATACCTGAGCTCCTACTGATACTGTGTGACCTTCAAAGGAGATCACTTCTCATGAACTATTATTCTGTCACTCTTGGACAATGAAGCCGAGATTTGGGGTTTTCTCTTCAGTCTGATTTACCTCTGCATCTAGCGGATCCAAAGACTAGATGGTGCCAAATTGCTTGGCAAGATAATTCAAACACTCTTAGCTGAACAAGCAGAGACAGGACTAATTCCTGACTCATCATGCATATTCTCACACTGACCATTTTCCTTTAGGAAAAGCTCCAAACTATTTCAAACACTTGTATTCCCAGGTACATTTGGTCTTAAAACTTACACCACGTCAAAATAATCAAAATTAACTGAAAAGAACTTACGCAAATGCAAGGAACTAATTTTCAGTATTTTTAGACGGCTTTATTCCTGCTAGAATTTGAAATGATAACATCTTGATAGAGCAAGCTGGTCAGGCTTAGCATGCCTGACACTGCTATATTTTCAGAAGGCTCTATAAAATAAAGAACTGTAAGAGGATGCTCGCTGGTAATGAATGAGTCTTTGAGCCACATTAGTGATTGGATTTGTTCATCACATTTTCCTGACTTGTTTTATGAGAAAAGCCTATCTTCTGTGCTCTGCAAAAGCAGACAATGCCTTTGACACCCATTTTGAAATAAACATGCACATACCAGCTCTGTTCTTTACCTAGGCAATCAGTGACACTCCAACATCTGTTCAACTGCACACAGAAAAAGAAGTTGTAGCTGTTTGTCAGACAGAGATGCTGCACCTGAAAGGTCTAATGAATTTACCTGCATTGATCCTGTGCAGGGAGCTGATAAAACACTTCAGCTCCCTGGCAATATGTCATCTGCAAATAGGGACTGTTCAACCCCAGGAAAGAAATAACCATTTGAAGAAAGGTCCTTTGACAAAAAGTTTCTGTTTGGTTATGATCTTAAAAAAACCCAACAAAACAACAACAAAAATAAAAAAAAAAAACCCTGAGGAAATATTTAAGCAGAAACAAAATTCTAATATTTTTTGTGAATAACAATAATGCTTATCACTAACGCTTATAATTAATGTTTATCACATGTAAGATGTATAACTGGTCAGAGGAGCTGTCTATCCAGCATGTTGACTTTGCTAATAGTGGTTTTGGCACCCACCCATAGAAACCCTCCTGATGACACACTACAGCAATATCCTATTATTTTTCAAGACAAGTAGCGAGTTACAGAATCACCTTAAAAACAGTAGGTCGTGATTTTTGAATCTAGCAATTTGACAGCGCATAAAGAATGTGCCTATTTTCAGGATGAATGTGCCTGTTCCTCAGGAAGTGAATTCCTGCAAATTTTCAGAAGATAGGCAGCTGCCAACAAATTTAAATGAACATTTCAGTTGAACTCCAGGTAGAGGAAGATCACCTGAATTATTAGAAATTAAAAAAAAGTTCACAAGAGCAAAGTATCATGAATGCCTCATCCTCAGTAGAAGAACACAGAATAATCCAATCACAGGAAATAAAGGCACAAACCCCCGCTTCCCAATTTTCTCTTTCATGGAAATTTTCTTCCATTAAATACTTAAATAATTAAGCTCAACTATTTGAACAGAAGATTAAATTGTACCCCCTGAAGAACTGTACACTGGCATTTATCTAGGTATAGTATAACCAAATATTTTTCTCTTTAAGCATTAGACTTCTCTGAGCAGAACCCTCATAACTAAAGTGTTTATACTCCTACAAAATAAAACCATAAATATAATAATACAGATTCTTCACTCAAGTCTAAAAAACACCAGGCAAGGTTAGAACAATGTTTACTTTATTTGAGTAGTAGTTTTGAGGTCTAAAACTAATAAAGACAATATGTTATTCAATACTGCACTCTGAGGTAATTAAAAATAGATCCCCAAGGCTCCATTACTAGTAGTTTATAGGAGTCTTCTACTCAAAAGTTCCCATACAAGTCTGTGGAAACTAAAAGAATTATTCAATGAATTTTGCTTCTACAACAGAAGCCCCCAAAAAAAAATATTACCGAAGAGCTTATTCTCACTTCGCTCGTGTTTTTTTAATATATTGTCCACTTTTTAATATTTTATTTGGCTACTGATGTTCAAAAAGCCCAAGTTTATATATAAAAATAAATAACCTAAAAGCTTTGAGGTGTTGTATTTTATCCCTAATATCAATCTAAATTTTCAGGTTTTCTTACATGTCATTTTATTCATTGGCTGTAGAAATGGATGATAAGATAGCTGCAGTGGCAAGAAAACTACCTGAGAAAAATTACTAAAAAATACTGTAGATTTATATATTTAGAAGTTTACTGTTTGTTTTTCAAGGGTGATCTCAAGATTTTTACAAGGCAGGCCCATAACGTTGTGTCACAATATCAATTCCAAAGTGCCAACAGGATGAAGGACAGCAAATCTTCCTCAAGTCTTACACAAGAAAAATAACGAGCACACAGGGAGAGTGCTGGGCACACACAGGGAGAGTGCTGGGCAGAGCTAGTTATTCTTAGGTTCATTTTCAGAGCAGAATTCCTATTTAAATTCAGTTAAGATAACAGATCCATTTTGTTTGAGCATGAGGAAAGGTAAAAAACCCACTCTCTTTCCTAATATCAATAAAAGCTCAGTTGAAATGTTGTTCAAAAGCCTAATTTAAAAGTGAATGCAAGTTCAAGGATCCAAAGCTTTGTGGTATGGTCAGATTGTGCAAAGCAGCACAGAATAGCAGAGCTCATGTTAAACAAAAAGATGGAAAGCCTAGTGGCCAGCAGGAGAGTTTTGGAAGGGATAAATTTACCCCACCTTCTAAAATGCATCATTATGGTTTAACTATCATAATGACCTCCAGTGGCAAGACTCAACTAAGCAGTCTGCAATACTAAAAAAACCCAGTAAAAGAAGATTCTCCATAATGTTGTATCATACCAAAGCCCAGGACAGCACTGCAGACAGCTTTGGCTTCCTCAGCTGCTTAATGCCTCAGTTTCTCACACAGCCCATGACACAGAATTCAATCAGCAAGCAGTTTTTCCACAACTTTGATGGGGAAGGATACTATTTATTTTACGTGGCTGACTCTTGCTTTGACAGGCAAAGTGGCCAGGAAGGCAAGGACACACACCCAGACATTTCCCCCCTGTTTGGTAGCAATCGATACAATCACTTACACCACCAAGAAAACACGACCAGCTCAAAGCAATTTTCTCAAGGTGAGAGGCCAAAGAAACAACAAAATTGCCAGCATCAGAAGCCTCAATTCCCAATGTAAGGATTCCCAAGGTTGTACAGAAAGTAATGAATATCAATTCTGCTGCAATATTATTTACCTCCTAGGAGAAAACACTCTCCAGCACTCAGGCTCAAATGACCATAACTTCACAGGGAAGAAAAATGCAAGGCAGAAAGCAAATCAGGGAAAGAGGTCTGTTCAGCAGCAATATCTGTGTCACATACCTCGTTTCTCTTTAGCACCCTGCTGTGGGAAGCTTGGCAGAAATGAAGATGGTCTCGGTGCTGCTGCTGCTGAGCAGCCTCCTGGGTACCCCCGCCGTGCCTTCCCAGCGCCCTTCTTGTTACAAGAGGGTCCTCAAGGACCACAGCTGTCACACCATCCCTGAAAGCAAGGAGAACCTCCGACACGTCGACGATGGTCTGCAGGATCACTTCTGGGAAGGGAAAGGCTGTGAGGTGATCTGTTACTGCAACTTGAATGAATTGCTCTGCTGCCCAAAGTAAGATGATGCTCATTTCATGTAAACTTGTATAGTTCTTCACAACTGCCCGTTATACTTCCCTCATTTTACAGTTTCCACACGTGGAATAAGCTATCATTTTAAAGCACTTCATCACTTCAGATGGCTTGAAATGATATCAAGATATAGCCAATTTTCTGTTACTGTCAGTTTTGAGGATTTCTTTTTCAAGGGCTCACCTAGGACTTCCTTAGCATATCTTGTAAACCTCCCTGTCCTATTAATAGGGACTTCAGCATTTGAATCACCCAACTTTTGACTCCTCTGTTTGATCCAAACTAAGTATAACTACATCAAACCCTTATTCACAGCATTTTGCAATGAAGATGTTTTCAGGACCACAAAAAAATTCCTATTTTATTTCTGTTCCACGGAAGAGAACTGTAGTGCTATTCTAAAGTGCATGCACGTATGTCAGTTGAACAAGTAATTCTGTAAAAACAGCTGTTAAAAGCAGAAAAGGAAAGGAGGGGCATAGGAGCTCACACATACTTAAGGCAAGGCAAAGATTGAGCCCAAGAACATCAACACTTCCCCAGTTTGCTCACACTGCTGACAAAGTTGAACAGTGAAATTCTCACTGAACATGAGGGGGTTTGCTGTTGTTACATAGAAAGAACATAACTAAGTTAAATGAACACCATCAGCCTATAATGGTTTTAGGTAATAAAATGTATTAAGAGGTACTATTTCATTCACCTTTTCAGCAACAACTTTTATTCAGTTAATTTTGATTAGAAATATCAACAGTTCAAAACTTACTAATACTTCAGAGGCACCAAAATGTGATGGCATAGTATAGGCAAGCAAAAATGATTTTTTATATGTGCTCCTCTTTACACTCATTTCTCAAATCCCCTAAAATCCAATAAAGGCAACTTTTCAGCACTCCTGTAGGGGACTCAAGTTGAACCAAGTGGGAAAGACTGCTAAAGCTAAAAATCTCACATTCAAACTGAGAGCAGGGTTTAAACAAGTTCTTCATCCTTAACTTTCCCTAAAGCCAGATATGGTGTCCGCACCCTGAAGCACACTTTGGGTCTCTAGCTTCGACCTTTGAGCAGCATAGTAAAACCTCTTCCTTTGATAAAAATATGGAAGAAAATATTCCTTCCACCATCCTGAGGTACACAAGACCTGCTCTGCATCTGTGCTCTCGGGACAAACTGCACCAAACCAGTATGCGTGCACATGCCAAAGTCCTTTATTTTGGTAATATAACCTATTTGGTAAATTTATTTTCTCAAAGTTAAAATACCAGGGTGGAGTTCTGCAACCTCATCAGCCAATGAAAGTTTTGTCATTGTACCCACAGCAGAGGTAGAAACACAGTATCTTCATCCAGACCTGCACTTGCATTTCTGGAAGGACATCCCACAAAGTCAGTAATCACACATATATCATGATACATGCTAAAAAAATATCCACAGTGGGAAATGCATATCACACTAAAGCTCTAATAAACAAATGATCTAATTGTTTAAATATGTGATCCTATCTTTCAGGGATATTTTCTTTGGACCAAAGATATCTTTTGTGATCCCCTGCAACAGTCAATGATTCAAGTCTGCAAGTGAAGATAACAGACATCATTCTACGATCATTTAATAAAGTTTTCAAGGGAAAAAATGGAACTACCAACAAAAAAAAAATCCTTTCTAACCACAAGTCACTGCCTCACTTTACACTGTAGAAAGAATTTCCTTTCTATACCTTTATGGGATATCAAATATTCAAGAAGTTTTCTTTTCAAATCCGATAGCTGAGACAATTTCCATAAAACCATTTCCATGGTTTAACAGACTGTACAAGCTCTTAATGTATCCTAATAGGCATTCCCCAGGAAAAAGCATAACTCTTCTTACTTAGCACAATATCCTTAGCTAGTATGGACCAAGAAACTTCAAGCTTAAGCCTTCATGTTGTTAGGAAAATGACTCTCAGAGCAACTTATGGCAGTGAAGCTTCCTATTCCATTACTGCCATCACACTTTTAATGCTGTTTTGACCTGAAGCCACTCGGTCCCTGGCACTTTGGAAGAGAGGTTCACATGTTCTCTTTAGGCATCTTAAAATACATGCACATACAAAACACATCTATTTCCATATTTGAAAGTATTTCACTGGAATAAAAAAAAATAGTAAAAGTTGACATTAACAGTACTAAACCATACTTGGGTCTTATGCTTAACTGATCACCTGCCTTGACTATGCAGTCTCTAAACCTTTAAACTGCTTAATCTTCGCATTGAACATGTAAAAATATTAGAACAACAGATTTTTTAATCAAGCTGTTTGAAATACAGTACCACAAAATTAAGTTAAAATGCTGGCTTTTTTAGGCTAGCCCTGTAAGGCAATAGCTACAGAAAACACAGAGATAATCATCTTAATTTTTAAGAGGTATTGTGAGAGATAGATACGTATATGAGATTGTAGATACAAAGAGACATAAATTTTTGACCGTTTTTGTTATATGGCAATCTGTATTGGCAGGTGCTGAGAGGTGACCACATAATTTTAAGCAGAGTAACCTGCACAAGCCAGGCTTACAGGCAGCAAGCCTGACTTGCTGCCTTACACATATGAACTCTTTAGCTATCAAGTCAGTCACATGGAAAGTGTGCAGTACTGAAGGAACTGTGCAGTCCTGTCTACTCAAAAAATTCAGTGTTCATCTCAATCTTACACACTGAACCAAACTGCTACCACCAGTTTACCACACTTACTTCATGTGTCAGTATAAAGTATCGTGACTGCTTTTCTTCTTGTTAGTAAACAAGGGTTGGATATTGGGTGAGGGGGTGATGATACACAGCCAATAATAAATGTTTCAAGTAAATCTGTGTGTATTATTTTTGCCCTAGTGACTGCTAAACCGTTTGCACCACCAGGCTTTTCAAGCCTCATTTATGTAATTATTCAAGCAAATTAGAGTAATTAGGACTTCTTACCAAATAACCAACCAATAGTAAAACCCCATAAATCTGGCAACCCAGTGAAAATACCTGGTCGGTGCTCTGCAAAAAAAACTTATGCTATGCGCTGTTGTGTAAAGTCCTCTCCAAGCTTTTAGGGTATGCTAACTTCTGTTGTTTGTGCCATCTAGTTTCTACAAGAATCACGTTGCATACGCCTGGCATTCACAGCTTTGTAAAGCAGCCGTAGGAAAAAAAATTAAGGCAGATACAAAGCTGGGTACTGAAGCTAGTGCCTTTCAGTTACCTTTCTTCCGTGACTCCTGGAAAATCCACTCGAGCAAAATTTTGCCACTTTCCACCTGCAGCAAGATAGGGTCACTTAAGTTACACTACTTTTAGACTGACTTTCCATAGAAACTTGCTTTTGTTTCTTTCCCCACTCTACTTCCCTCACACAGCTTCTTCTACAGGTCCTGCCAGACCTAGGTGGGAACATTCAACCCTGTCAGGCACTCAGAAAAAAACTCTCTATCCTTTAGATGTCCTATCCATGACTATGTTCCCTGGCTTTTTATGTGACTTGCACTTTTGAAGGCAAGAAGCTTGAATGTGTGCAAAGGACATTTAGTAAACAAATTGACTGCCCCTGTAGTGAAATGGGCATGAAAACATATTGTCAAAGGAGCACCAATTTTAGCTGTCACTAGCTAGATATCACTGTCTTGAACTTAGGCCAGCACTGCAGAACTGTATTGTGGAAATACATAAAGCAGTACAAGTAAAAGAAATCATAGCACTGAGAGATACTGGGAAAGCAGCCAGTTTGAGGTTAGGGTTTATCATCATTCAGCTCTATGCAAGTGTCACAGGTCAAAAAAAGCAAAGTGAAGCATTTCAGTTGTAGTGACTCCAGCAGAGTAGTAATTTTCAAAAAAACTTGAAAGACTAACATCAGGCAGATTTGATCACAGACATACAGCTTTCTCATTTTTCCCAATTTAAAAAAAAAGCTTATAAACATCTGATAAGGTCAGGAGTTATAATGAATGCTAACCAAACAAGCTGAAGCCATATCCTCCTTAGCTTTAAGATGAAAGCTATTTTCCCTCAGCTTTTTATTCATCCCATGTGCACAGCTTTAAGCAGAAAGAAATCATAATCCATACACCACACACATTTAGACTGGCACAATAGTTGACAATACAAGAAGTCATTCATAATACCATCTTCAACATCAGAATTTTCTAAGACAATCAATTAAAAGCCTAAGTAATGCTGGATATTATTCTCCATAAGTTACCATCAGTTTTGGGTTTATTGAGAGGGGGTTGCTCCTTTTGAACAGGCCTGAGCTAATCCATGCAATGAAAAAGAGACCGTGTGCCTGTCAGAAGAGACTGTATTGACCCCACACAGGCTCCACTCCCATTCTCCAATTAAGCTCTTAGCAGCAGTCCACGCAGACAAATGGAGAAGTCAGCAGGTAAAGGATTTCTTACCGAGTCGAAGGATTTCTCAGCACAGTAAGCTGCAGCAGCCTCTTCATCTGTACTTACAGCTTTGAAATTCAAGAGCTGCACTTTTTTCCATTTTAATATAGGAGCAGGAAGGCCTCAGTGCTTGGAAGCATGGATCTCCACAATGACAAAATGAATAAACAAATCAGAAAATCTTCCAGTTCTTGTTTCCAAAGCGGGCGGGGGGGAAAAGTGTTATTCAGACATTTCTGCCCAGCTAAGAACAGAACTGACACTTCAAGCCTTCTATCTTAGGAAAACTAACCTATTGCCAAGTCTGCTACAGCTTTTTCTTTTAAAGGCATTGCATCATGAGCACTTGAGGTACATTTGTAAATATATCCTTGGCACATTTTAATTGAAAAATATTTTAATATTATTACATAGTTCACCAAAGCTTAGCTATTAGGTACAAGTATCATAGAATCATAGAATATGTTGAGCTGGACGAGACCCATCAGGATCATTGAGTCCAACTCATTAAAATTACAGACGCACCCATTTGAGCAACAATATCAGCAATATTTATTTAAAATACTTTTGCTGAGGAAATTTGTTTCATAAGAGATGGTTTTCAAACAAATCAGCAAGGTTATGAAAAATAAAACAGACAAACTCTCTCAGGAGAAAAGTTACAAAGAAAGCTTTTGCATATCAACAAATACGCAGTCTTTTGATTTGCAGCCTGAGTCTCAGTCCCAAACTTTTCTGCCTAATGAACCCCACTATCCATCTTTAGATCTGGTTTGTTCTTGTCATTCTTCACCGAGTAGATGAAGTATGTTAAGGTGTCCTTTTCATTCACTGGAATTGTCCTAAAATGGCAGCCAATTATCTATAAAGGAAGAATGCAAGGAAATTAAATAATCACTCTTACATGTAAAAACTGAAGATTCAAATTTAAATGTACCACATTAAAGTTTAAAAGACTGATTAAGAAGCTTACAAAAAAAGGAAATGTTGCCTCTCTTCAGAAGTCTTTAGTGGTCATAGCAAGGTAAACAGGAACCATTTTATGGATAACTGTGAACTAAATGCAGCAGATTGTACCCCTAACTTCCAAAGTAAAAAGATGAGAAATTTTTCAGGGAAAAAAGCACTCAAAGCTATTAGAACAAGCATGGGACTATCAGGACATCTGCTTAGTTAAAGCTTGAATATAACAGTTTAACTACAGAATGACTACAGAATATCAATGACAGCACAGTTACGAGAGGCTACTGCTCTGCACTCAGCTTGGGAGGGGGTGTCTGCATCAAATCACATACAGAAACATCTAACACAACACAAGGACTATCACAGAACTATAACTGAACATTCAGCTCGTCAAAATAGAGCTATCAATGAAAATTCACCCTGCTGTAACCATTAAAATATGACAATCTGTAAGCAGTTCTTGAATCACTTGTCATTCCAGCAGTCTCTTCCTTCATCAAAATGAACACCAGCTTTAAAAGAAAGTTGCAAAATATTGTAACCGAGTCTGCTCTCTGGCTTTTTGCCAGATTAGTAGATGAAAATTATGAAGAGAAAAACATGGGACTGCTCACTTAAGCACCACAGGATTTAAGAATAAATGCTTAGCCTAACTAAAAAGTTAGGAAGCTTTCCAAACTCTACCCCAAAAGCATTCACAGACAAGCTGTTTGACACAGTAATGTGAACTTTCAGTAACAGCTAGAGCAGTGTCCATGGTATGTGAGGACAGATTACAAGGAATCTAATGTACTGTATATTAAGGAAGCTCTGTGGTTATGGCTCACAAGTACCTGCAGGTCAGTCAAATCAAGCATGTGGCAGAAGCAGCTTTGCCCATGCACACCATGCAACATTGGAATAACCTAGTGCAAATATCAGCAGATCCTTTGAAACACCTGTTTTGCAGAACAAAAACTGCTCGTGCTTTTTCAAATCACAGTCCTTCTAATTCAAGAGCTAACCTACATATAAAAAAATGGAAGACTGATTTTGTATTCTTACACTTAGTAGCAGCAGGACTGTTCTTTTACAGTTCAGCCTTGAGATCAACCATACCTTTAAGAGCCTTGCTTTTAATCCACACAGATTAAGGAGAGATAAGTGCAGACACTGTTTTCAAGTACAGCTGAATGTATCACTGATCAAAGTGAAAAATCAGTAGCTATACCTTCCTGTTAAGATCACCAGCTCTTCACTTATTTACATCAATATGCTGTGACTGCACCTTTGCAGCACTAAAGAATTCCTTTAAAATTGCACTCATGTGAAGCAAGGATACTAACATACAGCTGTACTGACATGCAGATCCAGCACTTTTAGAAACAGTAAACACCACAAAATTCCAGTTTTCTGACAGCAGATTCCAGTGGTTTTAACAGAATTAATTATCAACATAAGCACGTTTTTTCAGGTTTCTGTACTTTACAGATACAGAAACCTATGGCTGCAGTAACTAGCTTTTTAAAGCAAAGTCTGTACCTTACCAGAACTTCACTGACACCTCTGTTTCTAGTTATTTTCAGCAGGACATTTCAGGTGAAGCTGTGATTGATGCACAGACAGAATACATCCATGATTCTGTGATACTCAGGGGCATGAAGATCATCTTACTGTTCCAGCTCAACACTGTGTTGAGCACAGCACACACTCCTTCTGGAAGAGTCCCTCCTCTGGAAAGAGCTTTTACTTTTGATTTACTTGGCTCAGGAGCTGTGGCCAATGAAGGAAGCTAGATAAGCAGCTCCCTTTTGTTCTCCTAAAATCCAGATTATACAGGCACTTTATGCAAGGATCACAGTGTATAGAAAACCACATGCCACAGCAAGTTGCATTTTCTATTATGGGAAACACTCATACATACTTCAACAAGCTGTGCTTTGTTAAGTCCTGGTCTCGTCTGTAGCTTGAAGTGTCTTTTGTACCTTCGAAGTGTGTTTACTTGTAACTGATATAAATCAACCTAGAAGAAAAGAGGGGGAAAGGGAAGAAAACAATCTAATATAACTGAAAAAAAATTCAATCATTAATAGTCGCAGAAACATTTTGGAAACTCACAGATACGCAAATGTAAACAGTCAGCTCAGCAGATGTCATTCTGACAAAAAACAAACTCCACCCTGCACCTTCCAGCAGAAAGGAAAATAGCCCAGCTCAGTTTAAGAGTGTTTTGCTATTATTGAGCATGCCTCTACCTTCCTTTAGCTGTGGACAGCATTTTGAACTCACTACTGTACTTTCATCAGTTCTGGGTTTTTTGCTTGCTTCCCAGTTCCAGCACAGTAACACAAAGCCCAAAAGCAACTTTTATATAGCATCTATGAAGATGCTGATTTAAAAGATGCCCCTATATTGTGATTTCAGCCATTAAATCTTATGTATATTACATACAAGATCACAGCACATCTGCACCGTGAAAGAGCACATATTAGAATCAGGACAAAGTCTGGAGCACAAGCGTTCTTGGCTTCAGTTGAGGAATGAAAACAACTGCTCTCGCTCTCCAAATGTATCCCTGCTACACAAGCAAAATGCAGGAGTTATGTGCATGGGCATAAAGGTCTAAAACTCTTTCTCAATGTCAGTCAACAGTTGAGAGAATTACACAGTCCTCTCAGGGATGCAAATACACAGCCTTAATCCTTAAGTACTGGGTCAGTTTTGAATCCTATGCACTCTGATCAGTCACTTCTCCCAGCAACAGCTTACCCTCATATCCTCCTTGACAACCTAAGAGAGCTTAGATGACTGAGAGGGAGAGCAAGCTCAGAAAGCAACCTGAATGAGAAATTCGATTAGGTCAGTTGCAATTACAAAAGTATTCTCCAAACTCACTGCATTGAAGATTGATGAAGGCATTCACTTTTGCTTTAAATTCACTTAACAGCCTCACTGCAGAGCACTTAATACAGCAGCCCTACAGCACACGTGGCAGCCTGGCCAGACTTGAAGTGAGGCCACCTTGCATGATAAAGGATTGTACCCTTTGGCATTTCTAACGTTTACATGGCATTAAATTCGACTTCCCAGTTGAATTTAATGAACTTCACAGTGGGGAAGCCACCCTTGCAGCATCGTGCAAAGGAGGAGCAGCAGCTTTTCACCAAGCTCCAGAAGCTACCAGTACTGCAAGAGTTTCTTTTCCTCCTGTAGGAATCATTTCTAACCAGTAAAGATAGTCATGACTGAGATGGAAGCTGGAGAGCCTTACAATCCTTCAGAAGAATGATACTTTTTTTCCTTAGCAAACTGGATAATAACTGAAAATAAAGGTGGTCTAGGGCAAACAAGTATCTAAGGCATACAGTAATTACAAGGAATGAACATACTGCCCTTGTCCAAACAAGCCAGCTGACACTCCTCAAAAACAGTTCCCAGTTTTCTTTTTTGTAATAATACTGTTAAGAAAATAAAGATTGTTTTCTTGTTCTGGAGATACCCATCAGTTGTGAAATGTTTTATAATCCTGGCATAAGTAAACAAAACAGGCTTCCAGGAGAGCTGCAAATACACAGTGTTGGAGAGCTACCTGAAGTCACTCACAGCACTAGCTTTAGACAGGACTTTCCAAGAAACAATCCCAGGTATTTAACAGACAACATCACCCAGCATCAAACTACTTTCAATCTCCTAAAATCCTCTTAGCCAGAGGCTTCAGACTGGAGCCTTGTGCCTAAAGGCACAGATTCCTGCACAAAATTTCCTCACATACTTGCTGTTATCTGCAGATGCTGACCATAAGGGTGCCATTAAATTAACACTTACAGAGCAATTTATGAAGAATGTTTTAACAATCCCTCTCAGAAGGGACCACATAGGCATAACAGCCTCTGCTCAAAATTAACACACTGCGGAGCACCTGCTAAGAAATGCTGTAGCAGAAATAACCCACAGCACGTGTAAGAGAAAGAGTGCCTTGTGTTCATGACTGACTGTTTACACTATGAAAAAAAGTTGAACGCTTTAGTTCCCTTATTTTAATGGGTCAGATTTCACTGGAGTGCAGTAGAGAAAACAGGCTGAAAAGACATGGTATTCCTCTACTCGGCTCCTTCACAGCAGAGTTTCCCAAATGGCTCTTCCCCCTACAGTGGGGCTGAAACAAAGCTAGCATTAAACTCTCAGTGTTTAAAGTGACTACGACAATGGAGTAATTACTGAGAACAACCTGCAATACATTTAGCACAAAATAAAGGTTTGAAGGGACAGGACAGAAAAGCATTTATATCCCAAGCACTATGTGCAATTCCCTTCAAGTTGTCAGGTCCTGCAAAAAGATAAGAGTTTGATGGTATGTGGCAAAGCCCTAAGGAAGAGAGGAAGCACTAAGGAGGAAGAAGCTGAAAACAGCAGATTTCCGAGATAACCATCAGACACTTAAAAATAAACTTGCTCACTGTACTCTGCACCATTTAATCAGAAAACGTGCCACAAAATTCAGTTAAATTCTCTTATATGAAAACAGTGTGAATCAAGAATCTTCCCCCTCCCACACATAAGGTGAACTGTAGAAGTGGGAGAATGGTGTTGGTGCACTCAGTGACATTAAGAAGCTTAACACAGCAACTCAGGAAAAAAACCCAACTGTTTACCTACCTCTGGAGTGTCGATGTCCTGCACTGGTGAGTCACCATCATCATCGCTGCCTTTCCTCTTTCTTCTATTTCTCACACTCTGAATTAAATTTTTGTGGAAGTCACAAATGTACAGATGTCTTGCCTAGAAGAATAAAACAGCATCCTTCAATCAAATCCGCGTAGCGGATCTCTCCCAGACTAAAGTGCACGACAGACAGACAACCCTTAAGCACTCGCAGCCGCAAAGTCGAGGAAGCTTTTCTACTGGCTTTTTCTAAATGGAGAGCGTGCTGCAGCTCCCTGCCGCCGGCCGGGCCCCGAGCTCGCTGAAATGCTGCAATGGGCCGATGCAGCAGTGCCAGGCTGCGGAGCC